AAGGAGAAATTAGATGTTAGTCACTCTTAGGAGTGAAAGGGTTAAATAAGGACCATTAGAGAGGGTTTCAGTCATAACTAGAGTCACTGATTTGTGTTCTTTTCTAGGAGGTTCATTTGCGCCTTCGTACATACCGACAACTCTATCTCCTTTCTTAATACCAAGATTTTTCAGAGCAGAAGCTAGTAATGCCACACTCTTTCTTAGTTGATGAAAGGTTACGGTCTTGACCTCTTGCCCTTCTCCTGCAAAAGAGTAATAGAGATGAATCCTCAACATTTTGACTGTCTGTGAGGCTAAATATATTGTGATAAGAGGGCAAATTGTGGTAAGAGGGCAGGCTTCCCTGACACCCCCCCTCCACCCCCAATCACACCCTAATCACACCCCAATTACACTCCTCTCACTTGGGAGAATATGAAAGGGCATCACAACCTGAAAAAAATGTTGGAAGAGAGGAGGGTGGGGGTTCACTGCTAAAGACTGATGTTTTGATTAGGAGGAGGACAAGTTACAGTTCTCTTAACTACAATGAATTCCAAAATTTTATATGAGCTCAAGATGAAGGAATTTATCAAAACTTATCACTTAGCTGCACCTGCAGTGTACAAAGCAACTTTCTCATCATCAAAGCGTAGAAGATTTTCTGCAAAATTAAGGTGAGCGCCATGGAACCATTCTGGAACCTCTTCCATTGGTTTAGACTCATCTAAAACCTTTATTAAAAAAATGAAACTGATATTGCATTGCTATTGTAGTGGAAAATTCTGTTTTGGTCACTTATGGAAGTTAAAGAGTTAAAGCAGCCAATGAGATTCTTATATCTCATCTTACTCCCAAAGTTTGCCAGTGAAATGAAATCAACAAGTCAGTTTTGTTTAAGGGTGCTTTCCAAGTTGTGTTCTTGAATATGGTAATTGATTTTATTTTTCTATAAATAGGAGATCAAATAGGGTGTTATTGAACATTTTACCTCATCTAGCAACTTGGAACAACAAAAGATATGATAGAAAAATCTGGTACCTCATCATATGGATGGGAGTGGACAATGTTGGCAAATTTCCAAAACATTTCCCAGAAATCTGTATGTTGATTGACACTCCACTTACGCAGCTCCTCATAAGTTTCTGTA